CAGACAGACAGACAGAAAGACACACACACACTACTAGGTACACAATACATGCAGACAAACAAGCAAACCTGCCCCTCCGTCTCTGCCCACTCTTCCCTGCCCGCCTCGAACCTTCTTGGACGATTCAGTCTTGCCGGCACCGGATTCGCCAGAGATGATGACAACCTGATCACGCCCGCGATACTTCATGTCGTTGAACACGTTGTCGGCCAGCGCGAAGATGTGCGGCTGCAACTTTGGGTCGAACGCGCTGCGGCCACGGTACCTGGTGTGTGCGTGGATGTGTGTGTGTGTGTTTGGGGGGGGGGGGGGGGTAGGGGTATGATGCGATGCGTAAGGGTGTGTGTGTGGGTGGGTGGCGGGTGAGGGGTCCTCACTACGTGTTGAAGCACAGCAACACAGCCAACACAATGCACACGCACATATCTTCACACACACACACACACACACACACACACAACACATGTGCAAGCGCACTTCTCGACGTAGGTTGCATCGTAGATGGGCAGCTCCTTGAACGGGTTGACGGCAATGACGACGTTGCCGATGTACGACTGCAAACGCGCACAACAAGCAGCAGATGAGCTACAGCGGCAGCTAAACACAGCTACAGTAGCGGTCAAGCACAGCAGCACAGCACCAGCAGGGCGGCAGCAAACCAAAGAAACACACGCACGTAGATGACGTCGCTGAAGAAGAGGGTCTTGAGGTTCTTGATGACGGCGTCCTCTGTGACATTGCGCAGGAGGATGAGGTCAAACACGGCCTCCTCGGCCTTGAAGCTTCCTCCACTGCGGCGCTTGCGGAAGATGGAATCGCGGCTCCGCTTCGTGCCCTGCACCACACAACACACACACACACATGCACAGTGAGATGAGGAGCAGCTGTAACGCACAATCAACCCCGCGATAAGGACAGCTCTTCTTTCACAAGTATGTACATGCATGGGTGTATTATGTTTTCTGTGCGTGTGTGTGTGTTTGTTTATGTTTTCTGTGTGTGTGTGTGTGTGTGTGTGTGTGTGTGTGTGTGTGTGTGTGTTGGTTGAGCTTGGGGGGGGGGGACAACAAGCACAACATGATGATCACAAATCACAGGAACCACTGACGTGAAGGCTGTGGCCAGAGCCACGAATGAGCGAGTTGCTGCGGCTGAAGTTTGGGCGAGACATGCTTGGTTGGTTGGACGCCTGCAGTTGCAGCAGCAGAGACAAGAACAGCAACAGCAGCAGAAGGCGAAGCAAGGGAGAAGGAGGTATTGATGCTGGGAGAGAGGAGAGTGCGTGTAGTCTGATCGAGGAGGAGGAGGAGTGGGATATGGGAGTGAGGGGTGTGGCTTCTTGTGTCCTCCCTGCCTGTTGCTTTTGTGGCTTGTGGCTTTTGTGGTGTGGGACGCAGACAATTCACTAAAGTCTTCAAACACTATTCGGCAGCACCAGAACAAGGGCGAAGAACGCCAACAACGCTGCTTGTGTGGGTGCTGAGTGTGCGCGAAGACCAAGAAGGAAGACAAGGAAGACAAGACAGGACGCTTGTGCCGTGCAGCGTGTGTGTGTGTGCGTGTAGCCAGTCTTGGTGTGTACGTGAAGTGACACGATGGTGGAGAGTTGGTTGTGGAAACGCCGTCCAAAGGACTTCCGAAAGAAGCACTGGGACCACCGCTTCTTCAAGGTTTGTTGAGCGAGGTTGATGAAATCCAGCGCTGGTCGTTTTGTGGCTCTGTGTGTGTGTGTGAGTGTGGTGTAGTGTGTGTGTGTGTGTGTGTGTGTGTGTGTAGTGTGTGTGTGTGGCTGTGTGTGGCTGTGTTTGTGAGTGTAGTGTGTGTGTGTAACTGCGTGGGGCATGTGAGGTCTCACATCCACACCTAGCAATGTCCAGTGGACAACACACTTCTTATCCTTGCTATTGTGCTTTGCTTCTTCGTCCGCCTCTCACGTCTTCCTGTTTCGGCCCTCTCCTGCTGCACATGGTTGGCTCCTTCTCCTTCTCCTTCTCCTGCTCTTCCTGCTGCTGCTGCTGCTGCTGCTGCCCGCGCATATCAGGCTGTGGACGATGTGATCCTGTACTACAAGTCCGAGTCTGGCGGCAAGGCTCGTAATCGAATCCCCATCTGGACCATTGTCAAGATTGAGAAGATGGTGGCGGACGTCGCACAGCTGCCCAAGAACCTGGTCCCATACTACCGCTTTGGCTTCCGCATCATCACCGCAGACAACAACGACTTTGAACTCCTGGCAGCGGTAGGCCACGCTCTCTGTTGTGTGTGTGTGTGTGTGTGTGTTTTAGGGTGTGTGTGGAGACAATGAGCAGTAGAATCGATGGGGCATGTCTGCGTTGAGTGCAGTGGAGTGTACAGCGGAGTGGTCAGATGCAAACAATACCGAGCATCGCGAGGACGTACACGTGGACGCACACACACACACACACACACACACACACACACACACACACACACACACACACACACACACACACACACACACACACACACACACACACAC